ATATATGAGTTTGTATGTAATGTATGAATATAATATACAAGTTTCACTTTTTAAATGGAATTACTGAAATAAAACTACTTTTTCATGATATTCTAATTTTATGACCAGCACCTGTATGTTTCACGTGTTTAATTTAATAGTTATAAGCAGTTTTGCTCCCAAGGGGGAAAAAAACTGTTGGAAAAACACTTAATGTACTTAATAACAAACTGATTATTTGATTAAAATCATGGAGGACTTGAAGCACAAGATTAATTCCAAACTGGTGTTGTATTTTAAATTAAATATGATTTTTTTTGTCATAACCATAACTTTATTGTTTAACCCACAATAAAACCCAAGTTCAATTCTCACCAATGATTAATATCAGACATACAACAGCTGCCAACTCAACTCTGTCAAAAGACAAAACCAGGATGGTTCAGGTTTTCAAACTGATTTTTTATACTTTTGGCCACAAGGTGTCGCCAAAGAGGATTGGGTTGAAAAATGTCACATGAACTCATTTTTGAAACAAGCCTGTGCTTCAGAAAAACTTCATGCCTCCTGTGTGAAACACCTAATGCTTCATTCTGTGGAAATGATTTTTCATTATAGCTACTGAAAGTTCTCGTAAAGAATTAAAAACAAATCTAACTGGGTGTACTTTTGTTACACGAGCTGCTGTTGACATTTGCCAGTTTTTGACATCAAAAACAAGTTTTGGTCTTTTATCTTCTTTCTGAATGTGTTGATATAGTTTTTTTTATGTTGGAACTTTGTTTATTTACTGGACAAGTCAGACGTTCCTGCAAAGATAAAGACTTATTGTTTTGTTTCAATCAGCAATACAAGTCTGTGTAAACATTGGTGCTTTGCTTCCTGCTTCTTTAGACTTAGTATTTTAGTTAACACACATTCCTGTGGAGGTAATGACTATCTGTAGCTCTAAATGTTTCCCTTTCTGACAAACATTTCTCGTCTTTCTTTTAGGTGTTTGTGGAAACGCTGGATAAATGCTTTGAAAACGTTTGTGAACTGGACCTCATATTTCACATGGATAAGGTGACTAATGGAAAATTTGCTCATCTTCATACGATTGATTTTAAGAAATGAATCATTTCAGTCATCAGATCAGAAACAATTTCATTCATATCAATTTGATTTTACAAAATTACTAGAATGAATTTTCTTGAGATTTGGCACAAACATTCACGTGGACCCAAAGAGTGGTGGCATAGTAACATAAAAGACCATTTTGACCACAGTGTTTAAAAAATAATAATAAATCTAGATCTGTGCATGGTGCTCATTTTAAAGCAGTTGTAATTTGTGTTTGTGGTCAGGCTGATGTTTGAGAATCAGAGTTGCTTATTTACTTTCTAGCATCATCTACCAAAATGACTACAGTTGTTTAAGCATAAATAGATTTATTACCTTTTTAATAGCTCATTCAAAGGATTCAATTTCCAGCCAGACTGGTTGGTAAAAAATACAACCCGGTTTATGGGTTTTGCAAAGATAATGAGATGTTTTTAGCTGTGTGAAGACCTCATTTAGAGTAAAGATTGTTCCTGTTCAGGTTACATGACCTCTCCTGGGAAACACATCAAACCCTTCTCGACCATCTTGACTGAATTTTYCCTGCAGGGATTGGATGTCATGCGGTGCAGGAGGGCTCGGCCCGACAAAATGTTACCAAGACAAAAACATCGCCCAAGTACTTCGACCCCATCGAGCTCTCTAGTTATGTAACACAAATGTGATTACGTTTTTAATTTGTCTCATTTGAATCTCGTTCGAAGTTCTGCGGAATGCTTCYTGAGYAGATTCGGCCGTGAAAGAAAAGATTTGTTGTTCTCTGAAACGTTTGCGACTAATTTTCGAGATGGGAGTGAAACTGAGCCGTGTGTGAAAGAGACCTGAAAGAGACCTGAACCCTCCCGCCGTTAATCTTCTCTGTTTATGACCCGCTGTGTTGCTCTGTCCGCACAGGTCCATTATATCCTGCAGGAGGTGGTGATGGGGGGCATGGTGCTGGAGACCAACATGAACGAAATCGTGGCACAAGTCGAGGTTCAGAACCGTCTGGAAAAGTCAGAGGTCAGCTCCTTTCTGTCTTCATCAAAAGACTACCTTTTTATTTATGTGTTTGTATTTCATTTCAGATTTTAGTTTTATAAACTACAGCTTGTGTGAACTTTAGTCGTCAGGACATTAAAGCGAAACRTAACATGAGCTTTGCGCAGATTAATGGGATCCTTCACCTCAGGAAGACTGCTTTAGAGCTGATCTATTTCAGTAAAAAAAATATAACTTCTTCAACAGTTTCAACACATTTGTGAAAGAAACAGCAGCTCAGTCACTCTGGTTGGTTTYGGAACAATTCTTAATAAAACAGCTGAAAAATGTCGAATGAAAATAAAAAAACAACATAATTTGGTTCTTTTTCCACAAGTTGGCAGTTTCCTGAAGTGTCCGATGTTCTTTGGTCAAAATGCCACATTAAAACTGTGAAACTGCTTTATTTTCATAATCAGGTGCTGATTTAAATCGCTCTGGTGGGAAAAATACTGTATGCCCCCTCTGAAATTTGTACTTCTGACTCAAGTTGAAACAGATTCTTAAACCATACTCCAGTTTTTAAATAGGCCAAGTAAAACCAGTTATGATAAATAATCTGCAGTAGGTTTTTTTATGACCGTTATGTTTGAAACATATTTGAAGGTGCAGCTGGAAAGAAGGGCAGATTTATGAGAACAAACACCTTATTCTACCCTCTGTTCTCATCTCCACCCCYGCCGAACAAACATACAACCCCCGACCTCTTTTCTGACTGAGGCGTGAAGGTATTTGGCAAGTACCAGAAAAATCTCCAAGAAGAAGAAGAAAGTTCAATTAACAGGGTTCCTGCAGATCATTAAAAAGTCTTAAAAGGCCTTGAATTCATAAATCTAAAGTTAAGGCCTTAATTAGCYTTAAAATGTCTTAAATAAATCTTTCAGATGTTTTAAAAATGTTAACACATTGTAAGGATGATTTTAATTWGTCTCAAATATTAAAATAATTGGTAACATTTATTTATTTTTTAAAGATTATTTAATACCAAAGGCTAGTTGTTTTGTGTTAAAATAAACATTTGGATAAAATTGTCATAAACTGGGCTTTATTCTGTTTCTGTTTATTGCGAAGTTGGTCTTAAATTTACCTTGCTACCTAGCTGTGGGAACCCTGATTAAGTAGTTACTGCAAAGTGCCAAATATTATTCAGTGACAGTTTTTCTGAAGCTTAGTTGCACACATTGGGCCTCATGCAAGAACCGTTCTTACGCACAGATTTGTTCTTAAGTTGTGCGTACGAGTGATTTAGGAGAATTTGTGGCATTCACCAAATGTTTTCTTATTCTACGATTTTTTTTCAGATACGAACAAAATTCACCAGTGGTCCAGACCTGTCGTATATTTTACGAGCAGTCAGTCTGATGTTATCCAGACAGATTTTCCTCCATAATAACTTTATATTTCGTTATTTAGAAAATAAATTACACTCCATAATTCTGTTGACAGTAGGTTATTCTGTTTGAAATGGAATTAGATTTTAATGACAAAAATTGGTTAGATTAAGTTAAACTGTCTTTTAATGCTGTTGTACAGAATAACACTACAATATTAATATGAAGATCACAAACTAAAAAACAACTTAAATTAAGCATTAATTGAAATTTGGAGACGTTTTAAAATGAGTCTTTTCAGAAACGCATCTGTCACTTGCGACCGCACGTAGGGGGGAGACGGCCAGCGGGGTGGGGTAGCGGTGCGCAACCATTCTTCTTCTGAATAAATGTAAACACAGTAACACAGTTRTTTACACTTAAATTAAAAAATGTTTGACCAAAGAAAAACCGGAGCTGGACTAGAGAGAGATGAAGATGATTTATATTTTTATTTCTGTGACTATAACGACCCACAGGAGACACGACATTAACAGCACATTTCATTCCTTTAAGCAGCTCGTTTAATTCCACACGACGCTGCTAAAGAGAACAGATTTTCTTTTCTCGATCTCGGAGAGCAGGACTACAATCTCCCAACTCCTAAAGTTCTTTTTTACTTTGCGATGTCATTCATGAATGGACACTTCCTGGTATGTGGGGCAGGAAACGTATAGCCTTATATGGTGTGTTTGGGG